TTGCATTCTATTAATGAAAGAGATATAAACTACGATTAATGCAATATAATAAGATAGAGTATACAAATATGTACAATAAGGCCAAATAAGACAGATGAATTGAAACTGAAAATAATACGAGTCAGTTTTTTGTTCTCTAATTTTTGTCCCATACTGTAAAAGATGATGTTACTTCGAAATAATTTGTTAATTATGCAATTGATTTGAACATTTATCAATCGTACAGATGTTTGTAAGATTATTAAGAAGGGATTGCTGGTTGAGGACATGAAAACAATGGTTAATCCTCAAATAATAGTTAATGCAAATCTTAGCTTTGAAATAATCAATTCTGAATTCGTCTCGTAGCAAGTGTTAGTCAATGATGAAAACTAAGAAAATTCTCAAATGATAACCGTCCATTTATTTACTTCTTGTTTATCTTTTTCTCTTATTACAGATATTAATTAGAGTGTTTTATTATCTCAGTTTGACATATATCTGTAGAAAAAAATCTAAATGAACTAATTATGAAGAAACGACTAATGAAGGAAATATTGCAGCGTTAATGTCAAATTTTGAATTCAATAACGATAATTTTAAACAAATTTTTGCCTAAGAGGAAATTGATTCGTAGCAGCTAAAAAACTTTTCCTAATTACGGCTTTCATGAATGATAGCAAATAAAATGAAAAGGAGAAATTTGAATTTGAATATCAGCTTCTGGAAGTTTCCTGAACAACTTACAGTTCAGGCTTTGGAAATTTTCATTTAGTATTTTTGCTTCAATCTTTGATGAGTTTTGCCTCAACCCTGCCTTGCATAATGCTTCATTAATCTTCCCTCCTTCTTCAGTCACTTACTCTCTAGGTCGCCCTATCACTAGCTGCTGATATGATTCATCCATTAATTCATCCATCTACATCTTCAAATTTAAAAATTGTGTTTCCAAAAGCAAAATATTCAGTTTCGCGAGTTGCAGTGTCTATAAATCACTAATGCTACAGTTTGGTAATCTGTTGAAAATTTTCGAAAAAAGAAAAAGATTAAGAAGTGCATCTTTCTTTTTGCATTACTTACTCCTTTCAGATATTCTCAGTGATTTCAAAAAGTTTGATGGCAGTCACAAAGTTAAGCTTTGAGGAAAATACGATTGCGATGTTTTGTATTTCTGTAGTAAGTTCGATTCTTACTTCATTTGCGCTTTTACCGATACGAACATTAAACTGTTTTGAAGTTCGTCTGAACAGATTATTCAGTAATCAATTGGTCAGTTATGTTTAATGTCAAAGCTGAATAGCAAATTACCTGTAAAGAAATGACTTCCATATCTAGAAACAAAAAGTGTCAAAAGGATCATTATCTAGCCAGTATGTTGTCTTACATCGGGAAATCTAGACATTTTAAGGAGTTATCAACCAATCAGTTGTTCCACAAAACCCCTGCACCGTGACAAGATTGGATTTCACTTAATGACAAATTTGATACAGGTATCACTGTTCGGATTTATTAGCAATGGCTTATCACTTTATATCATAACAACAAATTCGCAATTTCGGAATGCTTATGGAGCTCTTTCTACCGTCGGTTTGCTGTGTAATATACAGACATTATCAATTATGCTAATATGGGAAGCTATTGTTATAATAACGTAATATTTTTCCAATACATGGGATTTAGAGTTTGATTAATAGCTGCTGATCTTTACCGTACTCAATCAGTTCTAATTTCAGTGGTTCTCGGGAATTATCAACACCGACATCTTTCATCGCTTTAATACCCGGCTGCTTGGCAAATGTATCTTTTTACGGTTCACTATTGGTGCATTTCTTGCTTGCAGTGAATAGATATTATGCAATTGCACATCCTCTAAAATATCATCTCTTTTGGTCTGTAGCAAAAGCTCGCCGAGCAGGAATTATTGGGTATTTCTTCGGGTTCCTGCCATGTTTTCCGAGCATTTTTGGTAAAGTTTTCGCCTCTTTGTTTCTGCAAAATTGGATCATTTATAAAAAATCAAAACATTGCCAGCGGAAGAAAATGATTTATTGGAGTTGAAATTTGAAATTTCAAATTTTGCATATCAATCACTAAGTTACAGAACCATGTACCCTCATTTTTAATATGGAATTGGATTTCCGTTGGAGCTACGGATATACAACCTGTGGCTATATCAATTCGATGTTTGACTTAATATTCACTTCCTTAACGTTGATTATAGCGGGATGCATCAACTTCATAACACTTATTGGAATTAAAAATCAGCAAGAAGTTATGATTCACAGTTATATCATTGCTTAATATAAGGACGTCTAATTAACGATTGAAATGAATTAATAGCCTTGATGACACGATTCTTGAATTTCTTCATAAAATAGATGTTTGGAACCCAAGAGAAGTATTGGATATACTTCAAAGAAGAATCGAATGTAGAAAAAGGATTAAATGTATTTCTAAAGTGCAGAAAATTAAAAAATCAATTTTATTTGAAGCTCTGTTGTATTACAGAAATTATTTTTACCGCATTTTTCAGCCAATCAATATCATACGTTACGTCAATCATAAACGTGAAGTATTGTTTTTTAAACAGGTAAGCACACAAATATTGGAATTATTGGGCGGCGAATAATTAAATTAAATAACAAATTGTTGTTTAAAATTATAATGAGCCCAGCTGATAAATTTCAAATGAATTCATTGTACAGCTCAATTTCCAGTCGTGCATTAGCGAGCTTATCATCATCATAAATGCTATTTTCTTCATTATTGGTCCGTACTATCTTAGCAATAAATGGGCTTTATTTGCTTCGACTACAATTGCATGGCAAGTGGCGCATGTTTTAGATGGGTAAGAGGATTTTTACCATTTATAAGTTTCTTATCATTTAGCAGAAACAACCTGTTCCCTTTCGTAGCTTTCATTACGATATGGCAATTTCTAGTTTTTCTGAGAAAGGTTGCATTTCAGAAATAACAGCTATCTGACAATTATTTGCATCTGAAGGAAACAAATTTTATAGAGAAATATTGTTTCTAATTTTAAAAGCTGAAATCATTCACTGATTTCAAATTCATATCATATGCTAATTGTTGGGAACTCCAACGTCCTTCAAAGACTCCTCGATTAAATTTTAGATCGGTACATTACA